ACTTTACTTCATAGCAATTATAACTCTGCAGCACATTCAACTTACTAATATTTATTGAAATATTTTTAGCTGCAAAAACATTTTATGTTCACTATTATTTATTAATGCCCTGATTTAAAATATTACACATAAAATTTATTCCAGTGCACATTAGTAAATAAATTATGCTTGTAATTTCTAATGCATTTTTAATTATAAATTTATCCATGTCTACCTTTATTTATGATAGCGGTGTCTCACTGTTGAACATACTGTATATTAATGGCGACACTGCTAATTATGCATTCTTAGAAGTTGCATTCCACAAAACATACGAGTCTGTTTTTTGTTTTTTTTTACATCCTAAGTCCTGTTAACATCAATTAATTTAGGAGTCAACACACACAGTACTAGCTACCTTTAAAGCAAGAAAAGATACTATTAGAAGATGGTTACAGGGCCTGGATTTGGGACAGGGACTACATTTATATATAAATATAGCCAGAGAGATACTAAATACCAACCAGATGTTTCATTTTCAACCCAAGTGTCTAAAAAAGGATATTCACCAGAAATAATATTCAGCACAAAACCACAAAAGCTCCATGAATCTCTGGAGCCCCCAGAGCTGATGGGTACTTAAATAGTATCAGCAACGTGTTATCTTTAAGATTTTCGGGTTGGTTAATTTTGTGCTTCCCTTGCACCCACAAACTCACCTCACTATAAGCAATACATTTACTTTAAAAAATTCTTCCCGTGGAAATCTTATTTTAATTTGAAAAAAATATTATATTTCTCTGAAATTGTACACTTCTTGAGAGCTTCTTTAAAATAGTTTGAATGGATTTTTGACACCTGGTTTACTGTTGTCCTGAAATTGCTTTGTACCACAGGAGTATAAATGCCTATGTTTTCCCTATGGAAGGAAAAATATATTTCAAAAGTAGAGGAAATCAACATTGGGAAAATAGGGAAACATATTCACACACATAAAATATTAAGAACACACATTGGCAGAGAAACTCGAAGACGCCTCCATCCCACAGCTCTGGAGGGGCTTGCAAGAGTTATTTTCATCTTATGACGTTTCCTCTCAGCTTGTCATAGGTTTGGCAAAGTGGTCTTTTCCACGTGCAAATTCTGCTCCTACAAAATACCATTTCCAATGGCTCCATTTCAAGTGCATGTTTTGAGCAGCTTTTCATTTAACAAGCATTTTACCAAGTGTTTATGTTATTTTAAGGTTTTAGTATATAAAGAGAAATAAGGAACATCCCCTTCCTCATGTCCTGTCAGGGAGACAGAAGTATATTGAAAGAACAACAGAAAACATGAGAAATGTTGAGCACAGAGAACGACACTCTTCAGGTGGCCTGCTAGGAAGAGGTGATCTGGAAAGCTTTCTCGAGGAAGCACTATATGAATTGGGTCTTCAAGAATAAAAAGAATATATTTAAGAAATGATTAAAATGACATAGATATGTATATACATATGTACAATGAAAATATTTTTTAAAAGCACACTGGGGCTTATCCTTTTAGAATATTGCCACTATGTTTTGTAGAAACCTAAGATAGTCACTAGAGAGGCCACAAGAGAAAGAGCCAAGGTGCCCTGGCCAACATTACCAGGCAACATTGACCTTGCAACCATATTAGCTGCCATCGGACTGAATGTCTCTAGACTGGCAGAACAACCCATCAACCCACAAAACCTTGAGAAATAATACATGGTTGTTGTTTAAATAGAATGAGAAGGAAGAGGAGAAGGAGGAGGA